GACAGAATGAAAGTGTTGGCGAAAAAGTTCAAGTTCTCAACACTGGCTAACTATCAAGTGAAAGAATAACCTATGCCTTTTGCTAACTACTTTTGGTATGAACAAGAAGCTAGAGAATCATTTCAGATAAAAAGGAATTATCCTGATGAGGCCATTTTTTTGGCTCCTAGCATAAAGCAAGGTGAGTTGAGCTACAGCCAAATTTTCATCCCTCTTTCAATTTCTGACGGGCCCTTACAATTTCCTTTGCCTGATATGGCCATTAATTAAAAAATGCATCTCATTTAGATTGTAAAAGTGTGCAAGTCATACATCTTGGTAACGATAGAAAACAACTAAGCGGTTCAAACTAAGTCCACCAACTTGACAGTTGCCTCTATAAATGATAATGTAGAGGTGATGTAAGGGATTGCAATATAAGAAGATTTTTTTTGGTGATGAAGGACCTTACATAACCTATGCTATTGTTGGCGGAGTTGGAGTATCATGTTTAAGTGGGCGATGCTAATGATAAAACTAAAGAGGAAGATGTTCGCCATCTACAGGCCCAAGATGGCACAAATGAAGCTAGCACCCAAAAATCATGTGGCTGTGCCAGCAAGGAAGTCTTCCTCAAGTTCTTTTGCATTATGCATACACCTCCAATTATAAAGAAGGGTAATTCATGATTATAACTAATGAAAACATTTTAAATTGAGCTAATCCCTATGATTTTCTCCCTTTTGAATTTTTAAGAAAAACATCCTTTTATCTCCTCTGTGCACGTCTCCACCTTTCTGATTGCATGCAAATATTTGTTTGAAAAGTAAAAAAAAATTCTCCTCTACCATCTCAATGCTGCAACATATAAAAACCATATTTACTCATTTTATGAATTTAATGCATCCCTTCTCTACTTTATTTATTTCTTCTTACTTCAACAAATCTTGTTCTTACAATGTGTAGATCATGATTGAAATTTAAGAAATTCCGAGCTAATCAAATCCACACCACTCTCAGGTTTGTGAAATAGCATTCAAGAATTGAAATTTAAGAAATTTCTTCTTACTTCATCTTATCTGGTCTAGACGTGGAATGATATAGACTTTCAAATACGTGCTAGAAGATGTATAACAATCCTTGTTGTCAATGAACTAAACATTCTAAAAGAATATGCAATACATAGGCTTCAATAAACCTTAAATTTATTAAATATGACCCTCTACTCCATGCATGACAGTTATTAACACAAGATCAAAAAGTGATGGAGCGACTGGGAGGAACTGAAACTGAAAGAACAAGGTAACTCACAGCCTCCTTAATGAACACGGAGGAAGCAGCGCCCTTCCATTTAGGATCATTATCAGGGAAAATCTGCCCGATATCCGGAAGCCCCAATGCACCCAAAATAGCATCGACCACGCAATGAAGCAACACATCCCCTAGGCCACCAACCAAAGTCAAACGAACACAAATCAGTCATGAAAAAAAAAAGAATAATGCGACCAAGAATGTAGAGCCGTAGATCTAACCGTCGGAGTGTGCCTCGCATCCGCGATCA